TAGTGCTCAATAAGTACTAGTTGTCATTGATAATAACATCATCTTTTGGCTTTCAAGGCAGAGAAAAAGAGGTATCTCCGTTGATGCCTAATGTTAAAAAAAGTAACATTTTGTAACTTTTTGGCAATATCTTAAAAGATTTTATGATGTAACTGTGATGCTTGGGAAACTTTTTCTTAGGCTGTCAGAATCTTTCATAACCATATGTTGGGTACTTGCTTTGCGTAAACAGGTTTCTAGTCACAAAGGAATTATGAAAAGAAAGAAGAAATGGCCTTTGCCTTTGAGCAGTTGCTAATGTTATAAGAATTAATCATGGCCTATATTTTAAATAGGTTGAACCTAACCTAAGTTTTTGCAATCAGTGTTTTTTGTTTGTTTGTTTTTCTTTTTCTTTTAATTTTTTTTCTTTTTGTTTTTTTTTGTTGTTGTTGGTTGTTTGTTTGTTTTTAATTTTTTTGAGACAGAGTCTCACTCTGTCGTGCAGGCTGGAGTGCAGTGATGCAATCTCGGCTCACTGCAACCTCTACCTCCTGGTTTCAAGCAATTCTCCTGCCTCAGCCTCCCAAGTAGCTGGGACTGCAGGCACCCATTACCATGCCTGACTAATTTTTGTCTTTAGTAGAGATGGGGTTTCGCCATGTTGGCCAGGCTGGTCTTGAACTCCTGACCTCAAGTGATCTGCCCACTTTGGCCTCCCAAAGTGCTGGGATTATAGGCGTGAGCCACCATCCCCAGCCTGGTACCAGTGTTTTAAACCAACTACATGTATATTTTAATATAAACAAAAATAACTGTGATTAGCTGTTCTTAGAAACAAGCCCAACTCTAAAATAATCATACTTCAGAGTTTTTAGTTTTGCATCCTGCCCTTTGCTCCCAGTTGTCAACTTATCTCCCCTACTCTTGCTACCAATTGTCAGTTTACCCCTAACCCTACCCCTCACACATATACCCCAACTACCAGGTTGTTATAAAGCATTCATATATTTCTCTGTAAGAAACAATTTCTTGCATTTTTCCAAGATAATTATTTGAAAATGTAATTATTTGTAAACAGATATGTTTTATTGTGAAATCACCTAATACTCGAATTAGTTTATTTAGCTTAGAAACTTGGTCTAGAGCAGTGGCTCTTAACATGGCCGCATTTTTTTGAGGCAGCATTATTATTGATTTCTTCTTTTCAAAATTTAGCAAGTCCATGGTATTCTTACTTCAGTTTATTTATTTGATGTGAGGCTCAAATGATATGTGAATGATATGCATGATATGTGAAAGGAAGTTCATCAACATTGCTTCTTATCTGTTCCTGTTCTTCCTGATTCACAGCCCTATAGAATGTTAGAGCTGGCAAGGACTTTATCACCAACTTCTCATCACCAACACCCCTCCTTTAGCAGAGGAGAGAAACTGAGGCTTGGAGAAGTGAGGGGATTAGCTTGCAGTCACACCACCACCATGTGGTTGAGTCCGGTGCAGAACCCTCCCTTCACCTCAGTGCCTCTCCCTGGCTGATAATCTTTGTCTGTTTTTTGACTCCCTTTTCTGAGCTGTCCCCAGGTCCTCTTACTGTTTCCTGGAAATGTTTCTTGGTTGTCTTCCTTCCCATTTCTTCCTGGCTGATCTTGTCGCTCAACACCTCACAATAGGAAAGGCCTGACAGAGGACTTGGTCTCTGAGGCATCCATTATACCAGATCAATTCTCTCTGGTTACCACTGTCAGCACCTCACTCCTCTTCTGCAAGGCTGCCAGGAGCTCCCTGCTTCTCGTGGTTACAAATATCAATACTTGTCCTCGCGTGCTAGACCCTCCAGAGCCTGGCGTCACCGGGAAGACCCAGCTTCATGGCTGTCTTCTCCCCATGAGCCCCAAAGCCCACTGTCTTCTCTGGGCTTTCTTCATGAGTCAGCCATGTTTCTTTTATGCCTTTAGTTTTGTTCTCCCCAGCTTCCGGTTCTCTCCCTGCCTCTCCAGCTACAACAGGTCCTCCAATAACATCGTTTCATTGGATGTCATCTCCTCATAATGTTGGTGAGGAAGAAGAAGGGGCCACTGTGGAGTTGGTGTGGTCTCCCCAGGTCTGTGTGGGTTTTCTCTGGGCACTCCTGTTGTTTTCCACATCCCAAAGATGTGCCTGTTAGGTTAACTGATGTGCCTCATTGTCCCCACCCGAGTGAGTGTGGTGGGGGTGTGAGCGTGTCTTCCAGTGGGAATGCATCCTGTCCAGGGTTGGTGTCCCCCACCCCCAACAAGCTGCTGGGATAGGCTCTGGCCACCCAAGATCCTGAACTGGAATAAGAGAGTGAAGAATTATCTTACTTTTTTTTTCCAAGCCCCTTCATTATACCAAAAGTTTATGTTATTCTTTCTTAATTGTATGTATAGCTCACATTTATTTCAGTGTTTAACATAGAAGAATTTTGGTCTTTATTTAGAAGTTTGGCAGTGTTTTTGTGACCAGAAATAGGCAATAGGAACTTAATTATTTTTAGAGACAGGGTCTTGCACTGTTGCCTTGGCTGGAATGCCATGGCCTGACTACGGCTTATTGCAACCTCAAACTCAAGCAGTCCTCCCACCCTACCCCCTGAGTAACTGAGACCACAGGTGCACAACACCATGCCCGGCTCATTTTTTTTTTAAGAGAGCCAGGGTTTGGCTGGGCGCAGTGACTCACGCCTGTAATCCCCACACTTTGGGAGGCCAAGGCGGGCGGATCACGGGGTCAAGAGATCAAGACCATCCCAGCTAACATGGTGAAACCCTGTCTCTACTAAAAACAAAATGCAAAAATCAGCTGGGCATGGTGGTGTACTCCTGTAGTCCCAGCTACTTGGGAGGCTAAGTTAACAGAAGTGCTTGAACCTGGGAGGCAGAGGTTGCAGTGAGCCGGGATTGCGCCACTGCACTCCAGCCTGGCCCAAGCCTAGAGCAAGACTCTGTCTCAAAAAAAACAAGAGAGCCAGGGTCTCACTGCTGCCTAGGCTGATTCAAACTCCTGGCCTAAAGGAGTCCTCCCACCTCACCCTCCCAAAGTTCTGAAATTATAGGCATTAGCCATAGTGCCCAGTGTAACTTGTTTATAGAAATTAGCCTATGGTAAAATTGATTTTGTCACACATTATTTTGCTTAAATTCATAGTTTCCAAGTAGGTGAGGATTTACTATACTCCGTTCTTCAAGCCAAGTCCATGTTCTACCTTCTTTTTAATGTTTTTCTTGATTGCTGCAGTGATAGCCCAGTGATTCCCCTTTACTCCCAGACATTTTCTGATTATATCCTACCATATAGCATTGCACATCACAGCCTCTCATGTGGTTCTCAGGCTTTTCCTTGGAATTGTGTTGCCTTCTCAATTATATTTAATGCTCTTTGAAGACAAAGCTTATGTTTATATTTTTCTCATATACACTATTACCCTCCCATCCATGTTTGAAGACCCTCAGTGAATGCCTGAAATTGAAGATAGCACCAAACCCTGAATATACTGTTTTTTCATATAGATACATACCCATGTGAAAGTTCAGTTTATCAACTAGGCACAGAAAGAGATTAACAATAGTAACTAATAATAAAACAGAACAATTATGCCAATATACCGTGATAAAAGTTCTGTGAATGTGGACTCTCTCTGTCTCACAATATCTTGTTGTGCTGCACTTACCCAACTTGTGATGAGGAAGGAATGGGAGTGGGACAGCGTGAGATTTCATCATACTACTCAGCGTAGCATGCACTTTCAAACTTAATGAGTTGCAACATCCTGGAACTTGCCGTTTAATATTTTCAGATTAGTTGGCCTCAGATAACTAAAACTGCCAAAAGTGAAACCTTGAATAAGGAGGGACTACTGGATTCTAGTCTTATAGTGCCTAATAAGTGGTCTGTCATAACCACTTATTAGGGGCTTCTTGAACTTATAAAGTTGTTATTCAGAGCTACAAGCGGTTCAGACACATTACAGTGTTGGCGGCTTGGGTCAGGATCAGTTGTTAATATTGCAGCATGGTGCTCTGCTGCGTTCCAGGTGTTGGCAGGATCAGGGCTATTGTGTTAATGATCCTCTAGGGAGACTGTCTGTATAGATATGGTGCTCATGCTAATAGTTTGATTTGTAGATCAGTAGCTGGGTGGCAGGGAGGCCAGGGGCTCCCTGCTGAGAACTGCACACAGGCATCTTGGATCTTCTAGTAGGTAATAGTTACTCGAGAAAGGAGTATTCTCATAACTCTGGCAGATCCTCAGCACACCATTGTGAAATGTGCACTGGCCTGTCTCCTTTCCCACTGTAAGTCCTTGAGCCAGTAATTGACCTTGGTGTTCTCTTTTCTACAATACTGGCGCAATATCTTAGGTTTAATCTGATCTTCGTCTAAAATATTTTTTTCAGAACCCATTAAGTACTGTATCTTCCCAAAAAAGATAAGTGTGTTGTAATAAGTTCCTGGTATTGGAACAAGGAGTGTGTATTATTTAAACAAGCTTTGTCTATTTCTGAATTCCAGTGCCCTGTTCCATGCCTTCTTACCTTTCCTGGTAGTCATTCCTGGACTGAGGTAACTGTAGATTTTATGGTACTTTGGACTATGCACTCCTTGAGGCACTGCCCTATAAGAATTGCGTCTGCCAATGGCTCATAAACTTGGAATTATTTTTTCTTTAATGTCAGCAGGACTACTTTCACCCATACAAAATGGTTTGGCCTTTTTCTCCTTTGGCACAAAGGAGACTTGGCAGAGGCTCAGATAAAGGTGAAGTTGGCAAGCTCTGGCATGAGAGTAAGTTCAGCACCTCTGGGTTTTCATTCCCCCTGTTCATCTCATGTTCAAAATCCTCATTCTACCCAGAAAGTCTTCTCTTCCCACCAGTGACACCTAAAGATGTTTGTTTCAGATCCTGCTTTGTCTCCAACACACACAGCGAAATACTGCATGCCTTCGTTTTCAGAAAGTTACCCAACTGGAGTCACTTTAATACTTTTTTAATCCTTTTAGGTGGATGGAAGTTTGCTTAGTTGAAGAATTGCCACCAACCACTGAACTGGAAGAAGGGCTTCGAAATGGAGTTTACCTTGCAAAGTTAGCCAAGTTCTTTGCCCCGAAAATGGTATCAGAGAAAAAGATCTATGATGTGGAACAAACACGTTATAAGGTAACCAAGATCTAATTGGTTTTGGCTTCCAGCTAAAAGTGAAAGTTTGGTATTTCATGTCCTCTCCCTTCTTTTACTCTTAGTGTTTCTGTAACGATTTTGGGGAGTGGGGGATGTCTTCGGAGCCTATTAGTATCATTCCTGAGGCAGCAGCAGTTTTACAAAGCAGAGTGTTTCTATTTCTAGTCTGAAGCTGAGAGACCTCTGATTTGTACAGCTTGCTAATGCCTCCCCCTACTTCCATGAATACTTCATGGAAGTCATTTTTGACTTATTAGTGCCAGTAGAGGTGAAAGTGGGAGCATGCTACCACTCCTTTTTTCACCACAGGCACAGTTTATTACTCCTAGCTTGTGTACCCAAACTTGTGGCCCTAAAGAGTTAGGCCCAATGTGATAAAAAGTAGGAAGGCTGAATGATTAGCCAATAATTCTTTTCCATTTGATGTTTAAAACAAAATATGACTAACCACTTTGTGTACAACTAGTTTTAAGAATTGTTTCAGGGCTAATTTGGGAAGCATCAGAAAATAAAAAGCTATCTTAGCCCTTTTAGAAACATCATAACAGCTGGGTGTGGTAGCTTTTGCCCATAATCCCAACACTTTGTGAGGCCAAGGTAGGAGGACTGCTTGGGCCCAGGAGTTCAAGGCTGCAGTGAGCTATGATCATACCACTGCCCTCCAGCCTGGATAACAGAGTGAGAACCTGTCTCTAAAATAATAATAATAGGAAGAAGAAGTAAGATCAACAATAAGAAGTACACTGTTATTTAAATTTAGAAGAAGCAGGGAGAAGAAAACAAAATTGAAATAAACACCAATTTTATAATAATAAAAATTCCAATCTTTTAGAGATACATATCAAAGTATTTAGATAAAATGATACATCTAGGATTTGTTTCAAAATAATTGAGGGAAAGGTAGACAGATGATAAAAAGCTGGCTGTGAGTTCATAACTAATTTGAATGATGGGTGCATAGGAGTTCATTATGCTATTCTGTATAGCTTTTTACATTTGAAGTTTTATATTCAAAAGGAAAAGGAAAAAGCAAACACCAAACTAAAAGTCTTCTCCATTAGCGATGCATCTTCAGAACAGAATGTTTAAACGTCTGGTGTTCTACGCTGCAATGTGTGACCTATCGTCTGCTGAAGGTCTAGGTTTCTAGAGCTTCTTTGAAACTTTGCCTTTATTTTTTTAGTGCATTTTGTTCTCTATATCAATTTTTTTTTCTGCAGATTTTCAAGTATTCTGAACAGTTATTTCTCTTAGACTGCAGGGAATGTGTTGAATAAATTGGAAAAGGAATGGTTTCCCATTTATTGCATGATTCATAGTTCTTTAAGCAAAATATATTCTCTAAATATGTATATTAAACACGGATAGAATGTTTGAATAATCTTTAAGGCTAACAGTAGGCAAGATAACTTGTCAAATTTATTTTGAGTCTGTTTTTCTAGCCTAGCCAAAAAGGTAACTGAACAAAGTTTTTGCCTTGAAAAATGTTATAAATAAAAATGTTCACATTTATTAAAGTAAATTTGAGTTCATGGAACTCCAGAGTTCCAGCTCTTGTTAACCTGCCACAGGACTTTAATAAAACAATAACTTAGCCAGCTAAAATTAAAGTTCAGAAAAATTTTTTTGAGAAATATTTTTAGAAATTCAGAGAAGCCCAGAAAAAGACCATCTGTATCATCTCTCCACAAAATAAATATTTGTCCACATTGTAGACTACAGCTTGTCTTCTTTTCATTGCTTTTTTTCTGGCTATAATCAAGATCTAGGTCTGTCAGTACCAAAACTTACATAGATTTGATGATAGAGTTTGGGGTAGATAGAGTTGAGGCTACAGCTCAACTGAAAGGGAATGTCAGGTTTTCTTTTGGCTTTCATAGACTATGAGAATCAGTCTGGGAAGACAGTCCTCATGGAAGTGAGCCTAAGAGCAGTGTATGGGCTAGTTCTTTTCTCTTCCTGGAACATTGTATACCTTGAATATAGGAGCGTCCCTCCAGATCAGCTCTTGGCCCTCAAGGCAGTTGCCTCGCCACAACTTAAACAGGTACCTTCTCCTCCTGGCATCAGAGATTCTATTATTTAAATGAATAGCAACCTCTCTTTGGATGGGAACAAGGGAAATAATATTTGTAATTTCTGGTTATAGAATAAAATACTTGGGGGGTTAGGCAGGTAATGACATCCCTAAGTGAAACATCACAAAAGGGATGCCACCCCTCCCCCCATCAGATCCCTGAAAGGCCCGTGGCATAGAGGTGATGCTGGGAGATAGGCAGGAAGGAGGGAGTCATGGCAGGAGGGAGGCCGTGGCCCTCTGTGGTGTGGGAACCCCTCTTTGCTGAGCTAAAAGAAAAAACATAAGACAAATGGAAAGGACCCCGTGTGGAAAGACAAATGGAAAGGACCAGAAAAGAGGTTTTTTTTTCTTTATTAAATCCCTGAAAGTACCTAGTGTTCTTGATGGAAACTTTTAGTGATTGCCATATAATTATAAAATTTTATTTTAGGGCCTTTTCATTTCTCATACAAAAGATGAAAGGAGATAAATATTAGCAAACAGGTAACTCAACTTCCTGATATTGTGTTGTTCAGGACTGAAGCGTATCACATAGCCCTTTGCAATGAGAGCTAAATCATAGGACTAAGGCAAAGACATTGGAGCACAAGGGAACGCTCACTCACCGAGCCCTAGCCCCTCGTGCCATCTGGAAACCATGAATGCAGTGAGCTCAGGCTCTCACTGCAGGGTCTGCCGAGACTGCAGCCATAAAATATGTTGGCCTTGGCACCGGCAGCTTTGATGAGCATCAGTTAAGTAGACAGGAGCTTTCGTGCTACCCCATTCTCTTTGTCTGCCAGCTTATGTACAACCCTGGTTCCTCATTAATTTTGGGTTGGAAAGATGTCCTGAGGAGTGGAGTTCAGCTTTCCAGTTATGAATATTTTTTCCAAGGCCACCACTGCCCTCCACACCAGGTCTGAGTTACATGCCCATGCCATGTGCACTGCGGCTCCTGGCACAGTCCCTCTTGCACATGCCATAGTATATCGTAAAGCAGGCAGGCACCATGTGTGCCTCTACGCCCCATCCCCAGGGAATGGTGCAGGGTCTGATCCATAGTAGGTGCTTGGGGAATAGCTGTTGGATAAAGGAATGAATGATAAAAGTTTCACAGAAGCCAAATGATTCCATTCCTTTTCTTGTCTTCTGTGCTTTATTCAGTATGTACTCAATACACTGAGTGTGACACCCTTCCTCTAAGAATGGTGCTCAAGCCACCTGCTGAACCACCTAATGGGAGTATGTAAAAATTGGATTCTTGGGTCCCACCCCGGACTACTAAGTCAGGCAGAATCTCTTGACCCAGGAAGCGGTACTCTTAATAAATCATCTGCAGTTGATTCTTTACTTCTGTGCTGCTAAGGTTTGAGTTAAGAACCACTGCTCTTTATAGGTGAATAAACATTAATATCACAAGTTACAATACAGTTGTAGAGAAGGACAATAAAGGCATAACACCACAGAAATACATATAGGGTGGAATTCATTCATCCATACAACACTTATCAAGACCCATCACATGCCAGGCACTGTTCTAGGCACTAATGGCAGGAAATGAGCCAAGGAGACATGGGCCTGGTTTTGTGGTGGCAGGGAGGCAGACTAAGTGAATTTATAGCTGTGAATTGTGATAAGTGTCTAAAGGAAGACACGAAAGCCAGTGTTATGGGTAGATAGCAACAACCAGGAGATGGGCTTCTCTGAGGAAGAGTTTACTCTGAGGATGGAAGAGTGAGAAGAAAGTCATCCATTTGCAGTCAGGGGTGGACACTGGGAAGAACTGCCCAAAGAGAGGGAGCTCATTTGTGAGAGACTTGCCACAGGGAGGAAAAGAGCTTGGCCATAGCGGAGTGGTTGAAAGGGATGGTGGCGGAAGATGAGGCCAGGAAGAGAAGAGATGAGACTGTACAGCCATTCAGGCCCCATGGAGCGCCTGAGATTTCATGCTTCGTTGGGGGGGACAGCAATGAGAAGCCTTGTGATGCCATATGGTGCAGTTTGTGCTTCAGAAAGATCAGTTTCTGCTATGCAGAGAACAAATCAGAAGGAGAATGAGGGTGGGGATGGAGTCCAGCAAGGGGATAATTCAGTCCAAGTGACAGTGGCCTGCACAGACAAGAAGTGAACTGCTTCCAGAGGGAAAACCAGGGGTGGATCCTGAAAAGGAAATAGAAATGGGTGGAGGGCCATGAAGAGAAGACAGCTGGGTGGACAGTGGGAGATGACCAAGGAGGAGGGAGAGGTCCTGTCCATTCTAAAGGGGTTGTTGGATGGTGGGGGCTTGAGAGATTAGTTTTCCCAGGCAGACTGGGGCAGACAACAGAAAGAAGAGGATGAAAGGGCATTCCTTGGAGAGGTTTCAGTCTGACAAGGCTCAAAGATAAAGAGTACCCTGAACAGTGCCTTGATAATTGCAGGTTTATAATTAATACATTCTTGTTGAATGTGTAGGTGTGCCTTAGATAGGGAAGGCATGCACACAGTGGTTAGCAGTGTGAACTGTAGAATCAAAATACTTCAGAGTTTTGCTTCACCCTTGACTTTAGCTCTCTGAGCCTCAGTTTCCTCACCTGTGAAGTGGGAACACAGATTGAATATCCTTAATCAAAAATCCAAGGTGCTCCGAAATTCAAATCTTTTTGAATACCGACGGGACACTCAAAGGAAATGCTCCTTGGAGCATTATGGATTTTGGATTTTTGGATTAGGGATGCTCAGTGAGTATGTCTGATGCAAATATTCCAGAATTTGTAAAAATCAGAAACTTGAAACACTTCTGATGCCAAACATTTCAGATAAGGGATCCTCAACCAAATAACAACAGTATCTGCCTTTACAGAGATATTGTGAGGCGCAGAGTGATCCGTGCAAGGCACTTGGCATGGTGCCTGATAGACATGAGCATCTAGTGAATATTGGAAGCAGTGCTTGTTCTATTTTGAACATTGAATATTTTGAGCAGTAAAACGAACGTAATATTTGGACTCGAAGTAAGGGGTTCTACAAGGGAGTCTTAACCTTGAGCCTAACAAGTTAGGTCAACTCAAGTGTCTTACTTGTGCCCTCAGTTTTCCCATCTGTAAAATAAGCAAATTTGGATAATGTTATTGATTTTTAAACTACCTCATGGTTTTAAAACGTTCTGATTCCAATACGTAGGATGTTAGCATCCAGTGAGGACCACGTAATTCCTTATCTATGCAATTTAAACTAGATGAACCATGTTTGCTGGTGTACTAGGTCAGCAGTGGAATGCTTCCTGGTCCAATACCTGAAAGAAATTAGGTGTATGTACAATAGCAACCCTTGACTAAATCTGACTGTACACATGTCACCTCATCTAATAGTAATATACAGGACTGGAGGGGGAAGAAAACACTCGCTAAAAATGATTATAATGGACTGAAATTATTTCAAGCCTATTTAGAAGACCGTTTTTATTCCAACTGAAGCACACTCAGTAGATTGGTAATGTTATTGCCGCAATTTACTCGCCAAAGTGTGCTCTTTACGCAAACATGAATCATAGGGTTCTGAAGTCAACGTTCGCAGGTAGTTTAAAAGGATTAAGGATTTGAAATCTTGTCATTTCATTTGTTGCAGAAAGATGATCAAGATAACTACCCTTTTCTTCAGTGCCTCTTAACGTGAAGCACTGAACTTTTTTCTAAGCTTAAAGGTAAATAAAAGTTCCAAGCCTAATCTTGAAGTGTAATAATTATTATAGGTAATAGTTACTGCATGTGTACTTTGCAACTAAACACGTTGCATATATTCTCAGTTTAATCTCTGCAACTCAGAGAAGCATTTTGTGGCTCAGGAACCAAGGTTCTGAAAGATTTGTATCTTTCCTGAGATAACTTCGCTAAAAAAAAACACTAAATATGTGGGAGTCTTTGTTACATGATTTGGGATTGTTGGAGCCCACCACTTTTGGACACCAGAAACCCACCGTAGTCAAACAAGATTAGCTTTGTTTAACTCGTTGGGCAAGAAAAATGCATACCCATATTGCCACAGGGAAGAGAAGTGAGTAGATTTAAGCTTGTGCTGGGTGATTCTAGTAGGAATTTAGGAAAGCAAGAACCTGTTTTCTTTTGGGTGTTGTCAGTAGGTGGGATCAATTTGGTGTCTTGGTAATTTTTATCTGGGAGGTGGGAAGATTGAATACGGACTTAGATTGTCGTCAGTAAAGAAAGCAGAGTAGCTCATATTAGTTGGAAGAGGGGGACCTTATTTTGTGGCACAGAGGGTTCTCATCTCTGTCTTGGTTCAGACTTGATTGTGTGGATTGTTTCTGTCTTGTTCCTCCATGGTCACAGAGTGGCCTTGTCTGAAGATTATTTGTATTAAGCAAATTTTTGCTGAGTTAGAAACACTCAAACAGTATGGCCTGACCTGTCAACTCTCTGGGCTCTTTATTTCTTTCCCTCCTTCCCTTCCTTCAACTCTCCCTTCCTCTACCTATTTCATTACTAGTTAATTTTTGCCTTCCAAAGAATAATCAAACAATCTAGGTCCTGCATTCTTCTCTGGGAGAGTGTTAGCATAGGGAAGGTTTTGAGATCCAGGGAGACGTAGTCTTGAATCCCAGTTCAGCCACTTCACAGCTACTTGACTTTAGGCAAATCACTTCATCTTTTTGGCCTATCTTTCCAAATCGTTAAAAAAAAAAATAGGTATTTATGGCCGGGTGAGGTGGCTCACGCCTGTAATCCCAGCACTTTGGGAGGCTAAAGCGGGCGGATCACAAGGTCAGCAGTTTGAGACCAGCCTGGCCAGCATGGTGAAACCCTGTCTCTTCTAAAAATACAAAAAAAAAAAAAAATGCATGGTGGCGCATGCCTATAGTCCAAGCTACTCAGGAGGCTAAGGCAGGAGAATTGTTTGAACCCAGGAGATGGAGGTTGCAGTGAGCCGAGATCACGCCACTGCACTCCAACCTGGGTGGCAGAGTAAAACTCTGTCTCAAAAAAAAAAAAAAAAAAAAAGATTTATTTTATTGTATGAATGCACCAGAGTTTGTTTGATCTTATTTACCTACTAAAGAACATTTCCGTTATTCACAGTTCTGGTCTATTAAACTAAAGCTGTTATGAACACTGGAAAAAAAATAGGAATGATAATTAGCTTTCAGGGTATTTTGAAAATTAGGGATAATTTACATAAAACAATTGGAACACATGCTTCAATCACGAATAGTGGCTATCACAAAAAAGGCAGAAACATTTGTCAAATGTTAAGTTGCTTATAATTTATAATTTCTAAAAGCCATGAAAATACTTTTTAAATAACAAACTATTAGATGTAGAAGGTAACAGAAGATGGGAAGAGCCAAACTTTCTGAATGTGATCACTACTGAATGTTAGTTATATGGTGAAACTTGCTATAGTTATTGTTTTGTACATTTGTTTAAAAATTACAATGAACAGATAACATTGTGCTATGCATTTAATAAGTGAAAATCAAAAGATCATTTTAAATTTCTTAATGGTTTATTTCTGATAAATTTTTATGTGATACAGGCAAGAATGCTATACTTACAGACTGTGCAGAAGAAATGACCTGATAATGACTAAAAAAGAAATGGAAGATATACAAAAACTATTTTTATTGTAGGGATAGAAAAAGATATCGTTAAATATTTCTGGTGAAGGTTTGCTTCTTATACAAAACCAAGATCAGGGTTAAATTAGAAGAATCAATAATAAAATTTGCTCTGAGTTCTAGGATGTTTTTTGTTTTTGTTTTCGTGTTTGTATTTTGGCTACATTTATTCTAGGTTTTCTGTAGAAATACTACATTCATGATTAGAAAAAAAAAATGTAATCTTCTAAAAATCCTGTTTTTTTCTGAAGTTGCTAGGCCTCTCAGCCATGGTTGCCAAAATCTAGACGACATGCATGTGTGTGTATGTGTGTACACACACATGCCTGTGTACATGTGTCTCATAAAACATCCTTAAGCATGCTAGACATTAAATGGTCTTGGAGATTCTAGTTCAGAATTTACCTCAAATATATGAATTATGGAAATTCACGATTCATAACAGATGGTTGGGATGTTGCCAAGATACAGTCTAGCCTCCTTTAGCATGTCTCTGTTTATGTGAACATTAATAACTCTGTTCTAAAAGAAGTACAATTGAAAAGCATCCTGTACATGAAAAAAGTTACTAAAAATGACTCACTTTTCGTGTGGTTCCTTCTCTTCTTTTTTCCCTCCTATCCTCATGTTAGAAGTCCGGCCTTCATTTTCGACACACTGATAATACCGTCCAGTGGTTAAGAGCAATGGAGTCTATCGGTCTACCCAAGGTAAGCCTTCACACACTGGAACCTGGACTGGAAGGGCGAAGGGGTAGTGCACAAACACCTCTTTATAAGCAATGACTTTGGAGACTGGGTTATGTTAATGTAGAAATGAGAAATGTGAGGAATAAAAAATATGGAAAGACCTATCCAAAGTAACATATGACAAGAACTCAGAATGAGGGGTGTGCACAGATTGAGAGCAGCCAGGTAAAAGTGTGTACAAAATAAAGGCAGAACAAGTTATAGCTGGTAGGTAGTTGATCCATCTAAAACAACCACCTCCCTTTCTTGCGTTGCTATTTGTACATAAAGATTCCTTTTTTTTTTTTTTTTTTTTTTGAGATGGAGTTTTGCTCTTGTTACCCAGGCTGGAGCGCAATGGCGCGATCTCGGCTCACTGCAATCTCCGCCTCCTGGGTTCAAGCAATTCTCCTGCCTCAGCCTCCCGAATCTGGGATTAGAGGCACGCGCCACCATGCCCAGCTAATTTTTGTATTTTTAGTAGAGACGGGGTTTCACCTTGTTTGACCAGGATGGTCTCGATCACTTGACCTCGTGATCCACCCGTCTCGGCCTCCCAAAGTGCTGGGATTACAGGCATGAGCCACCGTGCCCAGCCTTGTACATAAAGATTCTAAGCTTAGCCAGGTGTGGTGGCTCATGCCTGTAATCCCAGCACTTTGGGAGACTCAGGTGAGAGAATCACTTGAGGCCAGGAGTTTGGGACCAGCCTGGGCAACACGACAAGACCCTGTCTCTATTTAAAAAAAAAAAAAAACTCATTGTATCATTATATATTTTATTACTGTAAATTATTGTAAATTTATTTTTTGTAGATTATTGTTTACAAAATTTTGTTTCAAGACAGTCTGGCTCTGTCACCTAGTCTGGAGTACAGTGGCTGGATCTCAGCTCACTACCACTTCTACCTCCCATGTTAAGTGATTTCTCCCACCTCAGCCTCTGGAGTAGCTGCGACCACAGACAAGTAGCTGCCACCATGCCCAGCTAATCCTTGTATTTACTTTTGTAGAAACAGAGTTTTGCCATGTCGGCCAGACTGGTCTCAGACTCCTGAGCTCAAGCGATCTGTCTTCCACGACATCCCAAAAGCACTGGGATTATAGGGATGAGCTACCACACTCGGCCTATAAATTATTATTATAACACATAGTATCACTTGTAAAGGCTAGGGGGTTATGGCTCTTACTCTGAAAATAGACCTCCTAAATATAATTTATTCAGCAAATATCAGTTCTTGTTAAATTCAAAGAGCAGGCATCCTAAAGTCTGTGAGAGAATTAGGCACGTGAAGGAAATGAGGAAATAATTACATTTGACAAAAATTGTAGAACTATTTTTGAAACTTGTTATTTTGAAATAATTATAGAATCACAGGAAGCTGTAAAAATAGTGCTTCTATGTGTATCCTTCATTCAGCTTTCCTCTAGTGGTGACATCTAACTGCAGTACATACTAAATTGACATTGGTGTATTAATGTAAACGAGACTACAGACTTTCTTCTGTTTTCACCATTTCACATGCATTTATTTGTATGAATGTGCATGTGTGTGCATGTATGCATGATTCTGTGCAGTTTTATCCCATTAATAGATTTGTGTAACTACTACCACCGTCAAGACACAGGCAGACAGAAGAGTGGTCCTTCTGATTGCATCCCTCCCCAGCCCTGTTCCCTGGCAACCACTAATATGTTGTCCATCTCTCTATAGTTTTGGCATTTTAATCACAGTATATAAATGTAATTATACAGCAGGTAAACTTTGAGTCACGTTCTTTTTGCTCTGCATGTGGTCCTTGAGACCCATCAGGTTCAATAGCTTGCTCCTATGTGTTGCTTAGTATGTACAGTTTTTTGGGGTTTTTTTTTGTTTTTGAGGTAGAGTCTCGCTCTGCCACCCAAGCTGGAGTGCAGTGGTGCAGTCTCAGCTTACTGCAACCTCCGCCTCCCAGGTTCAAGTGATTCTCCTGCCTCAGCCTCCCAAGTAGGTGGGTTTACAGGTACGCACCACCACGCCTGGCTATTTTTTGTATTTTTGGTAGAGACGGGTTTTTTCCATGTTGGCCAAACTGGTCTCAAACTCCTGACTTCAGGTGATCTGCCTGCCTTGGCCTCCCAAAGTATTGGGATTATAGGCATGAGCCACCATACCTGGCCTATCCAGCTATTTCTGAAAAATTATTTAGGAGTGGTCTTGCTGGAGGTCAAGAGGATAAGCTACTGAGTTATGAAGACCTCTGTTGTGCCAGGTTTGCAATGAAAAACATCCACCACCACGGAAACAAAAGATTCCTTAAATGTAATTTATGAATGCCTATTTTTAATATAAGTGTGCCCATATCTGTTTTAGCTCAATCTCATTTTATCTTGAAATGATCAATATTTAAATTTTATTTTTAGTCAAACTATTTTCTCTTCTCCTAAAATGCCCAGAACGTTAGATGCTGTTTCCTTCTAGGAACTAGCTGTAATGCATAATTCATATTTCTGGACGGTGATTTAGCAAGTACTAACTAGAGAATGGGTGGTAAACAGATTAATTAAAAAAGAATATAAACAGAATTGTTCTATATAAGGCAACATCAAATTCGGATAATTTCATTAGATTTGATCAATTTGATGTAAACCTTTTCAAGTTACGTATATTTAGGGTCAAACAAGTGGTGTTATATAGCAGATTCTGTTTTAATGTTGGTTTTTATTATGAAGTCATTGATATATTGCATTGCAGGGGCAAGAAACTAACTGTGTACTGAATTGACTTTGATGTATTGTATTTAACTGGCATTCCTTCATTTATCAATATTAAGTGCCTACTCTGTGCTCAGTATCATGGTGCTGGAAATATAATGCTGAATAAAACGTTCTGGTGAACTATAAATTGATCTCATCTCCTTGCTGAAGGAAGACACTTACAATGGCTTTCCAGGAGAAATATCAATATAACAGGTTCTTGTTTAAAGAAAAGGGAAGAGGCAGTTGTAGTTGTTCTCTCCTTACATAGAGAACTTAAAACCTGGTAATACTCTTTCTTTTGTTGTTTTTTGAGATGGAGTCTCACTCTGTTGCCCAGGCTGGACTGCAGTGGTGCCATCTCAGCCACTTTGTCTCTTTGCCTCTGAGTTCAAGTGATTCTTCTGCTTCAGTCTCCCAAGTAGCTGGGACTACAGGTGTGCTCCACCACGCCCAGCTATTTTTTTTTTTTTTTTTTTTAATTTTTGGTAGAGACGGGGTTTCACCATGTTGATTAGGCTGGTCTTGAACTCCTGACCTCAGGTGATCTGCCTGCCTCTGCCTTCCAAAACACCACTATACACAGCTAATACTCTTCTGAATTTGGTGATCCTCTTCTCATTGACACTTTAGTAGCAAATGTGTTAAAAGAAAGTTGGAAAGGCTTTTTAAATTTCATAGGCTACTGCCATTTCTTTAAGTATTTAGTGATTAGCTCAAGGAATTTTGCTTCTTTCTTTTCTCAGCTCTTCTCAATGACCAATAGAAAATTGCACTTGAGTATCAAGTACTACCATATGATACATGATTTTAGTTTTTGAATTCATTTTTATATTTACTTAAAGCAAATAATGTCTAAATGATTATCTTAATTTTAAAAGCCTCAAGTTTAATTATTTTGTGTGTGTGCTTGGAAACAGAGAAGTTTGGTGCCTCACTCTGAAATCTGTTTCTTCTGTTGATTCATTTGTTTGTTTGTTTATTTTGAGACGGAGTTTCGCTCTTGTCACCCAGGTTGGAGGGCAGTGGCACATGCTTGGCTTACTGCAACCTCTGCCTTCCAGGTTCAAGCAATTCTCCTGTCTTAGCCTCCCAAGTAGCTGGGATTACAGGCATGCACCACCACGCCTGGTTAATTTTGTAGAGATGGTGTTTTATATGTTGGCTAGGCTGATTTTGAACTCCTGACCTCAGGTGATCTGCCCCCCTCAGCCTCCCAAAGTGCTGGGATTACAGGCATGAGCCACTGCAACTGGCCTGAAATCTGTTTCTTATCAGGCTGTTATTTTCAAGTTTAAGAAAAAGAGTATGAAATAATATGTACAATAACCCCCCATGACACACATTAGCTGTGTAACAAACCTTCATATCTACCCCAAACCTAAAATAAAAATTTTGTAAAAAGAAAAGAATGTCAAAGTGTGTTCAAAACCTTGATGTTCAGACCTTTCAGCTTAGTAATTTCATATTTAGATGATTATCCAAAATTATCAGATGCTCAGAAATGCAGAAATAGGCCAGGTGCGATGGCTCATGCCTGTAACCCCAGCACTTTGGGAAGCTGAGGCGGGCAGATCACCTGAGGTCAGGAGTTTGAGACTGGCCTGACCAATATGGAGAAACCCCATCTCTACTACTAAAAATACAAAATTAGCTGGACGTGGTGGCACATGCCTGTAATCCCACCTACTTGGGAGGCTGGGGTAGAAGAACTGCTTGAATCAGGGAGGTGGAGGTTGTGGTGAGCTGAGATCGCACCATTGCACTCCAGCCTAGGCAACAAGAACAAAACTCCATCTCAAAAAAACAAAAAAAAAAGAAGAAAATACAGAAATATTCATTGCAGTGGCTTAAAATAGGGAAAAAATTAGAAGCAAAACAAACCATCTTCAATCATGGGGAACTGGCTAAGCTATGATTCAAAAATATAAAAGAGTCATATACATCTATTAAAAATAATCTTACAGAATAATGATGGGGATGGGAAATACTTGCATTCTGTTAAGTGTTTTAAACAGGTTTACACTAAGTACAGTTTTGTTTCCACATGCACACTTATCTATAAACCTAAAAAATCAAAGACATATAGAAAAAAGACCAGAAGAAAAATAGGGACAAAATTGCTAGCAGTGGCAATCTGGGAGGTAGGATCCTAGGTGTTTTTCCTTCGTACCTTGTATACTTTCAGATTTTATTTGGTGAAAATGTATTACTTTAAGCAGATTTTTTAAATTGTGTTTGTATTATATATGCATGTATACATGTGTACAGAATATATATGCCAAGTTTTTAACAATGAAATAAAGTAGTTATTAAAAGGACACCCTTCTCAGGTCCATGGGACCTCTGGGAAGTCACAGGAGTATGAAGGCTGCAGGGGGCAGAGCCCAGGTGTGCTCATGCCCTGTGAAAGGAAACACTGCCACCAGCACTGTGGACACAGCCTTCTTGGAGTAGCTGGCTGGGGCCCCCACCATCCTCTTGTGGACCATTAAGAGGCGTGCTGTCGGGCAGGGGTCCAGATACAGTGATTGGCCTATCTCCACAGCAGGATGAAGCAGTGCCAGAGAGGTTCCTCCATATTTATATAATTGTAGGATAGCAAGGACAATCAAAGTAGGATCATTTCGAGGAGTTAAAATGAAGCAAAACGTATAATGAAAGTATTGTTTATTTTGTTTTCCAGATATTTTATCCAGAAACAACAGATGTCTATGATCGGAAAAACATACCAAGAATGATATATTGCATTCACGCACTGAGGTAGGGGGAAAATGCAGCTAAAAGGCACTCTAGGAAGTAGATTTAAATAAAACTAAAATTTCAATTTTGAAAGAGATTTTAAGTTACTTTAATAGTTTGAAGAACTTTTTATTAGATTCTATTGTTTTGGATTTGCTGGTACAAAATTAAAATAATGGTCACATATAAACAATCTTTAAACTTGAAAAATGTTTTTCTTATTTTTAAAAATCTATCTCAAAATAGAAAATCAGAAAATGAATGAAAACCATTAAGTATAATAAAGAGAGAATTTAAGTTGAAACTTTTAGTTATCCAATTATAATGTACTACTATATTCTTGAATTATGACCTAGTTTACAAATATATCAAATGAGCAGCTTTAATAGTCTTAATTTTGGTTTAATGCAGTTAAAATTATAATTTAATTTAAATCTTATCATAGATTAAGAAAATATAATGTTAGGAATGATTTCCTTTGACCTTCTCTTCAATAGAATTTGTACCCTAAGGATAAAGAAGATACATAATAGTTGGTGTAAGTTAGTCAAATCAGGGCACATTCATTATTTTAAAGCAGTTGTTTGACAACTTAATTTTTGAAAAATGCTGAAATTCTGCTAGTTCACAGTTTGCATTTTATCTTTTTGTCCTGGGAGAAATGTGATGTCTAGAAGGTAACAAAGATTATTCTAAAAATCCAGTTTGTAGCTGTTGTCTTGAGTGCACACAGATAATGGTTTTGGAAGCCTTCATGTCTGGTTAAATTTTAAATTTCTTTTAGAACATCTGCCTTGTGTTTTTATCACTAGAAGTCATTTTCCTGGCAGAGTACTCTGCCTAGAGGTTTATGTTGACTTCTTCATGGCTCTTTTCCTCTCCAAAGGAAAATATTTCAACAATAATTCACGGTGGTGTTGGCTTTCCAGAGAAGAAATTTGATTATGTCATATAATTTGACTTTACCCCCCACTCAGTACGTATGGGATTGCTTTGGAAGATGACAGTTGCTAGAAATACAGACCAAGTATAGGTGTCTTTGCTATGGTTTTTTTATTCTAACAACTTAGAACAACTGGTTAAAAAAAGAAAAACAAACCTACTTCTATGCTGCCTCCTCATATGTAGCTAGAGTATAATTATGCCACAGGTTTTCTAAAAGCTGCATGTGTAAAAGTGCTTATGTTGAAGAATATTTTCAATTTGTATCGCCCAATATTCTTTTTTTTTTTTTCTCTTGAGATGGAGTTTCACTCTTGTTACCCAGGCTGGAGCGCAATGGCGCAATCTCGGCTCACTGCAACCTCCACCTCCTGGGTTCCAGCAATTCTTCTGCCTCAGCCTCCTGAGTAGCTGGGATTACAGGCATGCGCCACCATGCCCAGCTAATTTTTTGTATTTTTAGTGGAGACTACTAAAAATAGTTTCACCATGTTGACCGGGATGATCTCGATCTCTTGACCTCGTGATCCACCTGCCTCGGCCTTATTCTTTATTAAATATTTTTCAGATCTTAGAATGAGTACTGAACACTGTAGTTAGTACTGGGTCTGTAACCTGCTGAACCAGCCACCACTAGTTAATGCCATTGCTATATGTGCACATCATAGTGCTCATCTCTAGTTCTGTCGCATGCTCATACACTGTCTTGTGTAAGTTTCAGTTGATTTTCTGAGTAGACACCTTGGAAGTTCATGTTAAGCAGCTTTAAACAAATGATATGCTAAGTTCCTTTCTGGTGATATCACAGTTCTTCTAAAGGAGTTATATAGAACTTCACTTAGGCTTACAAATGTGTATTTGCCATGGTTTTAACAATGGCTTGAATAGCTTAGTAAACAAAGAAAAAACAACTTTTTGTTTATCATTGCCAATTGTATACAAATATTGATATGATATTTTCCAGGACTGTGTTTTTCAGTTACTCATCATACACATCTCCATTACTTTGACTTATCCTGGAGGGGATTCCTGTTGGGTCATGTCATTCACCAGACCTGATCTTAAGGAGGATATTTGATCTTCAGAAGCAATATTTATTTAGTAAATAACCATTCTCCTCACTTTTCTTTGTTCCGAATTATTGTATAGCTGCCTATCACTATGGAATCAAGAAGTCCCAAGTGTATCTGATGCTTTTTCCACCAAAACTTGTTCCTGCTCTGATTTAAAATATAGCCAGTCACTCAAAGGAGGCTGATATTCTGCTCTTTTGTACAAGACATATTTGGAAGCTGAAGAGCAATCCTCTGATAAATACAAAGGATTTAATAAATACTCTTGCCGCATAGTTAGAAGTGATGATAGAAATGAACTAACATGTTTTTCAACGTTTACATCCTGGCTGCAAATACAGCACTGCTGCTCTATTTGAGAGTTGTTATTACTTGGTAATTAGGCAGGTTAGAGATTCTGATTATATAGCTCAGAAGCCAGCAGGGAAGTTTCCTCCAGGAAGTTAAGCTTGCTAGGCGCTGCCTTCTTCCTACCCAGCCTGTGGGCCTGACTTGATGCACAAAGTTAGCTCTTAGCCCTGACCAAACTTGTCTCCTCTTCCCTGTCATCTTGATTTGGGTTTAATACCCTAAGATCTCTTGGGTACTTGCCTTTGTTTCCTGTTTGCATCTGTTTCCCTTTTCCTGCCTGCCCCTCACCTTTTCATTTTATTCCTGATCCCAGTCTTGTGTCCTACCACTCACCAATCCCTGTGTCCGTTTAGATTGGCGTTCTCAAGCCAGACTCCGTGAACATTGCCCCAGCAGCACTGGAGGAAATTCTCAGGCTTCACCTAATGTAGACAAACTCACCTTAGTGGTAATGGCATCATTCTTTTTTCAAAGAAATGTGTGTCTTTTTCTCATTTTTTTTTCCAAAAAACAAAAGGTATGCTCATTGTGGTTAGGAAAATTCAGGAAGAATGTTAAAGAAAAAGCTAAACTACCCACTATCTCAACACCAAGTGAAAACTACTGTAACTATTTTTATATATTTGGACTTAAAGTGCATACTGCTTATGGCATGTTTGCCTTTTGTGGCTTCTTTTGGAATGGTACAAGACCCCTGCAAGGAAAAGGAACCAGTTCCAGAGTGACAGCCTTGCTAACTAGTTACTATACTAATTTTTAAAAAATCTCTGGAGGCCTTTTATGCATGGGTAAGAACACTTTTTCAGCATGCTCTTTAGTGCCCACCTTGTTAAAGACTTACGATAAATGATGTTAAACCACTGTTATTTGTTTCAATGGTCATAAAAGTGAATTCCTTGAAAGAATTGAAATAATTTAGTCGAACTAATATTTTGAGTACTTCAGATACCTTAAAGAGCAGGTGGAATGCCCAGGTACATTATTACAAACTTACTACACTGAAACCTATTCTTTAAGACCCATACTACAAGCTTCACTCATTTTGTTTAGTATTTATAGCTAATTTTGAGTTGTCCTAGGCTATTATATTATTTTGATACCTACCCAGAATTGAGTAGTCTTAGTGGCAACAGAAACAAAAGAATACCCTTGCAAACCTGCCATAATTACAGATCTAGGTTTCTGATGGATCACTGTGGGTCAGACCATGGCACAACTTTGCGTTCTTCTCCCATGGTGAGTCAGCCCTGGCCACAGGTGTCAGGGTAAACTTTCCTTGTTTAAAAAAAACAATCAGACTGCATTTACTTTTAAGGACCTGGCTTTCAGGTACGTTTTTATTTACAATGTGGCCCCCACCCCTGCCCCCATTCCCTATCACCCTGAAATAATTTACTTTCTAAGTCTCACTTGACCAGCATTGTATAATCCATTGTCCTGTCATAATGATGTATTGGCCTGATCCATTCACATTATTAAAAGCTTATGTGTGCCTTTTAAGTATTTTTTTTTTAATTAGTTGGGTTTTCTAGAGATTTCATCCCCTAGGAAACAAGGGATTGACTGTACCCAGTGATCTTTAGGCTTTTGGGTTTATTCATCATCTCAGATCATGTTTCTAGTCCTGCCTTCACTTAGTTATTGGTTGTGACCACCACTGCTGGGCCCTCCTTCTACCCAGTGTTTCTGTCACCACCTATGCTCCTTGGTTCTTCCTTAATGTGGGGCACTTCCGTTTTCTGGAGCTATTTAGCTTACTCAAAGTTCTTGGTCTTTATTCTTTCATGTACTATATATATATATATATATATATATATATATATATATATAAAAACAGATAGAGGCCAGGAGTGGTGACTCATATGGTGGCTCACACCAGCACTTTGAGAGATCGAGGCAGACAGGTTACTTGAGGTCAGGAGTTTAGGATCAGCCTGGCCAAGATGGTGAAACCCCGTCTCTACCAAAAATATAAAAATTAGGCGGGCATGGTAGCAGGCGCCTGTAATCACAGCTACTCGGGAGGCTGAGGCAGGAGAATCATTTGAACCTGAGAGGCGGAGGTTACGGTGAGCCATGATTTTGCCACTGCACTCTAACCTGGGCAACAGAGCAAGACTCCATCTCAATTTGAAAAACAAAAACAAAAAAGAGATCATAGAAGAAACAGAGTACTTGTGTCTTAATAACGTTCCCCAACTTGTTAAAGTAAATAGAAATACACATGCACTATTTATCTCATTTTTTATTACAACTTCCTTTTTGGACACTGTATATTATTCTCTTGATTATTGTTTTGAACCCATGCCCTTTCTCAGACTTTACCAAGATTATTATCTCTCTTTTTTTTTTTTTTTTTGATGAACCAGATTGTTTCAGCTTGGTCAGTCTGAGCTCTTTCTGGCCCACTTACTTGTCCTTCTAGCACCATCCCTGACATTCTTTAAAATATCCTTGCTTGTGGTCATAACAGGATTTACCAATCCTGTTCTGATTATTTCTGCTTTGAGATGTGGAACCAACTACTTCCTAGGGAATTCTCTTAAATTTCATGTGTTTATATTGATTTCTCAAGTTTAGTATTATTAGCATACTGAATTTTGCTTTTCTTGCTGTCTAGTTTATTTAATCATTGAGATTCTTCTACATGGACAG